ACTTTAAATTTATGAATGCTCGTGATTAAACCTAGACGCATCATGGATGACAGTTTTTATGTAGAGAAACGGATATGAGCCGCGGCATATTTTAGACCTACATGTGTTTGAAACTTGATTTCAATTCTGCACCAAAGAGTCAGGTACTAATTTCAGTAAGGAGTGTTCCAGACTCATGACTGTTAAAGGACTGAAATTCCATCAATAAAACAATACCTCTATTGTTTCAGTTGCAACTAGGACAAGCTCTCAAAAGGATATATTTACAAAAATGAGTCCATATAAACAATGAAATGAATCATTTGATTCCCACCACGTCCTATCCTGGTAAATACATCCTGGGATCCGAAAGGATAGTTTTGATCTACTCTCCCTCTTCAATCACATCAAATATGAGAGCTCTTCCTTTAATTGGTGTAGAAAGAGTTCATGTTACAAGAATAAGAGTGGCGGACAGAGATGAGGTGTATTAGTGTGTTGTAGAGTACCAATATGAACAATTATTTCTATTAAATAAGTCTCTGGAAGCCGCTATAGGCATGTACCGTCAACTAGGAGTCATGTATGTATGTATGTATGTATGTATGTATGTATGTATGTATGTATGTATGTATGTATGTATGTATGTATGTATGTATGTATGTATGTATGTATGTATGTATGCATGCATGCATGCATGCATGCATGCATGCATGCATGCATGCATGCATGCATGTATGTATGTATGTATGTAAGTGCATACGTACGGATGGATGGATTGTTTGTCGGTTCGAAGTATGGGTGTACGAATGGATAGATGGATAGACCTATGTATGGAGGTGTGAATGAACGGGATATATTAGTAAAAGAGCGAACCGCTCCGTCGGCCTAGTGGTTAGAGCGACCGCCTCGGATGTGGGAGATCGTGGGTTCGATCCCCGGTCGAGTCATACCAAAGACTTACAAAAATGATACTAATAGCGTTAAGAGGTTAGTGTTAGGATAGGTTGGCCTGGTATCAGGATAATGTGACTTGGTGGGACATCATGCTACATGTTTGTGGCATGATGCCTCAGTGCTAGACATCACTCTAAACTGCGGCACTGCATACATCCTAGCAATATGACTGAAAAATTGTTAAAGCTACATTAAGAATTTAAATCACCTCACATCTCACAGGAAAAGAGCACAAAACACATAACCTGTGGATCGCTAATTGTAAAACTTGAAAGTACTGTTGTTTGTGGTTAAAGTAGCTTTTAGCAGCTACAATTATTTATTAAAATTAAAACCAATGTAATGTAAAAAGTAGTAATTTTGTATATAAATGTATTCACCGGATAGGAATTCTAAAGCTGTGGTGGTAGATTCGAACCTTGTCAACGACTTATATTTCCCCAAGACCCCACTCAAACATGGAGTTCCAAGGTAGAGTAATAGTTATTCATTTACTGTATGTATGTATGTATGTATGTATGTATGTATGTATGTATGTATGTATGTATGTATGTATGTATGTATGTATGTATGTATGTATGTATGTATGTATGTATGTATGTATGTATGTATGTATGTATGTATGTATGTATGTATGTATGTATGTATGTATGTATATATATATATATATATATATATATATATATATATATATATATATATATATATATATATATATATATATATTCTACAGACAAGATCTGAATAAATATATTACAAAAATACTGGACCTTGTACATGTTGTATGATAGGCAATAATTCCAAATTAGTTCTTAGCTCTTAACTATGAGAACTCAATGTACTGCAATGTATCGATCAAGGCATATATTTTTTCCTCATGCTAATGTTAAAGCAATGTTTGCCAAATGAACTATATATTTTGGCAAGACAGATTATTTCTGAAGCCCCTGGTGGCCGATTTAAACCTAAACGGCTTTTCCGTTTCCTACGAGGCATTACTTAAAAGTTGAGTTTCAAAGACGAAGCATTGATTTTCAAAGGCAACAGGCGACGAATACTTGTATAATGCTGCAAAACATCAATTGTGCGTAATAAAAGACACATCAACTGTGCGCAATAAAAGCTTTTTTTTTGTTTTCAAACTTATGAATTAAATAAAAAGGAATGACGCTTAAAACTTTTTACAATGAACATAACATGTAAGTCATTTCAACGACTTGTGGGGCCCCGAGTGGCCGAGTGGTCTAAAGCACATTCCGTTACGGATCTCTGCCATCTCACCTCTGTCTGTGTGTGTTCGATTCTAGGATTCGGCGAATGTGGATATGTGAGAAAGCTTGCCAGTAGCTTCTCGTGGATCGGTGGTTCTTTCCGGTGATTTCCCGGTTTCTTCCTCCACCATTAATACTGGCCGCCATGAATAGCCTATCGTGTGCTGAAAAATGGCGTTAAGCACAAAAACAACAAACAACAATCAACGACTTGTATTAAGTCTTTAATATGATCTGTAGACAAGGTCCTAACCTAAGCCATCCAATCAATTTCTTTCTTTCTTTCACCAATATGCGTCTTAATGTAATGCAATACTAATCTCAAAAATATTTTGTTCATATATTTGAAGCTAGCTCTATGGATGAAAATAAAAGAATTTAAAAGTTTGTTTCCATGGTATTCTAACTGTAAATAAAGTGTGCCAAAAGTTATAAGAAACCTACCTATCAAATCAGTCGACTAATCATGTACATATCCATATGATTATTTCCATACCATTTTAGTTGCAACGCCCCTGCTATAGCACTACACTGGGCGTATCAAAATTAAAATTGACCATAATATAACGATAGTAAAGTGTGATTCGATTGATGCCTTATCAGAATAACAACGGAAAAATCTTCAGAATCACATTCATTTATTCGTACGTAAATCCATCCATCCATTCATTCCATCGTACACTATGCAATGTTCTACACTGTGTGGACTTCATGTTTAATAAGACGCAATTCGGTATCATTTATAAGAAAAGTGCAGCAAATGGAAGAATATTTGTTCTTTGATGCTCCCTGTATGTCTATGTGTGTTAAGCAGGAGCCTCGAAAGGAGTAACTTTGTTTAATGAGGACATTTGTTTTATAATTGTCATATTATATTGAATAAGTTGTGGTTCGTTGAACCACAGTTTATGTTATTTGCCATACATGTGGACAAGTGAGATAGATAGGTCGACAAGTTTTCGCAACGTAACTGTTTTTTTTTTTTTTACGAGGATATTGATACACTGGGTTCGAATTTAACACAGTTGCAAATATTATCCCCAGTCTAGTCAACGTTCTAGGGGACATTAGCTTTAGTGAATATTGTTATTTAGAATGTCAACAAATTAAAAGTCGATAATTCTATACACCAGCGGTTGCTTTACTGGTCATCCGTCTCCAACATATGTGTATTATGATTTGATTTATTCAAGCATGATCGTATAAATTTTCCTTTCAACCAGAAAAGCGTGATCCTTAGACATTATATACTTCATCTCAAGCCATCAACTGACGTCTCTGATAGCCATCATGTCCCGTATCAAATCGATCAATAGGATGTATAAATATCTTGCCTCATTTACGACGCGGATTTGTAAATTTACTCTTTTTGCATTATTGACCATAAATAAAATGTTTATCCTTTCCACCTGATTTTTGATTACTTGATCACCGTTGAAGGACCTTACTTATATTCAGTAGAAAGCGGCATTAAACCGAAAATAAAGTATTTATGGAATTACACCAACTGACAACTTCGCGTTAAGAGATTAGTGTTAGGACTGGTCGGTCTGGTGCCAGGATAATGTGACTAGGTAGGACATGATTGCTACTTGCGGCATGGAAAACCAGCTCTAGACATCACTATAAATTGTAACACTGCAGACATTTCAGCGATATGACTGAAAAATTGATAAAGCTACGTTAAAAACACATACATGCACGCGCGCTCGAACCTCCGCCCCCAAATTGACAAAGCGAACAGATGTTATTTCAGCTGGTTTCCAAAACATTACTTGCAGTCTATTCATGGCCTTTCATTAAAATGCATATCTGCCAAAAAAGCAACTTAAACTGTGCTGAATTTTATTTTGTATATGTTGTTTCCAAGTCATTGCTTAGTTAAATTGAGATAGTTTTATTGCTTCCTAAGGTGTAAGGTAACTTTGGTGTATTCTAAGGTAAAATGAACGTAGGTGTATGCTAAGGTATAAGGTAACCTGGATCAGGACCAACGACATAATACATTTTACTATATATTATCTACAGTACGGAACTTTTCACTGTTTGACGATCAATACGAATAATATGTTAATCTAAAATACCTTAAAAGAAGACGTCACGGTGAAATTCTTGTCATATGTTCACCGGCATTTTTGAGAGGCTGGACTATGAGCAAACCAACGTGCAATGGAACACAGATTTCACTTCCGGATCATCACCAAGACCTTATTACTCACTGTACACTGTCGCAGAAACACACAGAGACAAACACATCATAAGTTCATATTCTAAAGAACAAACTATTGAATTTAAATCCATACTAAGAATGCCTAAATATTATTCTTGTATCACCACCAAAAGGAGACAGGAAGAAATGCTCTAAAAATAGACTGGGACAACATTTGTGGGTACTGAATCTTAACTATTAATTGTGATAGGATTCCGTATGCTGAGTAATAATATAATTTTGGTGTATGCTAAGATATAACGTTACTTTGGTGTATGCTACGGCACAAGGTAACATCGGTGTGTGCTACGGTACAATGTGTTTGTGTATGTGTGTGTGTGTGTGTGTGTGTGTGATCTGAATTTTTATCATAACTTTAACAATCTTTCAGTCATATCACGAAGATGACTACAGTGTGACAGTTTCTGGTGATCTTTAGCACTGGACATTATGGTGAAGACACGTAGCATCATGTCCCACCAAGTCACATAAATCTGACACCAGGCCGACCAGTCCTAACACTAACCTCTTCATGCTGAACGCCAAACGTGACAGCTGCTAGTAGCATTTTAATGTCTTTGTTATGATTCGGCCGGGGTTCTAAACCGCGACCTCCCGCATCCGATATGGAAGCTTTAACCACTCAGGCCACCGGAGCATGGGCGCCGCGCAGCATAGGTCAAGGAGAGTCAGGTGAACCCCACTGGAAATCGTACTGCAAATACACACACACACACACATACATACATACATACATACATACATACATACATACATACATATATATATACATATATATATATATATATATATATATATATATATATATATATATATATATATAAATAAATACATACATACATAAACACACGACAAGGTTAATCATGCAAATGAAGCTGAAAATATGTCATAATATTCTGTTAAAAGCGTTTAATAAATATTAATTTTAGTTCCAGACTGCTTGCTATACTAACTCTTCCATCCGTGACTGTCCCCCCTCCTCTGCAAAATCCCTGAACCACCCCTACATCACACGAAAAACCCTGCGGGTGCACATGCACTGCATTAAATTGTGCTCCACTTCTGGATATTTTATTCGAACCAATTACTCAAAGGCGCATCTTTGTCTAGGAAAGAAAAGATGTCATTTTTGAGAATAAATTGTCGACTTTGAACATTAATGTTTCATCCAATAGCATGAGAATGGGCAGGAGGAAGACTTCGAGGACGACCGGCGCAAAGAGAAAAAGAAGCAAGTGAATTTTGACTCTGCTTGAATGCAAGAGACTGACATTTACATCCCTCGCTTCTGAGTAACTTATCATACGAGTGTACAAAAACCAATATTTTTCATTGTCCCAATTGTATTAAGATTCCATGAGGACATGAAAATATATTTCAGGTATCTCGTGTTCTTCCTGATTTTGGAACATGGATTTTAGACCCTACCGACGACACTTGATCTAAACAGAAATACATCATTAAAGGGACTGGCATCGATAAGCAACAGTCATTGAGTACAAGTTTCGCATGATGCGACGAACGATTATTTTTTTTTCAGATATTATTTAGAAGAAAGTAAGGAATGTCTCATTATCACAATGAATGGAGCCAAACTCTTCCATATGAAAGTGAGACAAGTCCAGTTTAAATATTACATGAGTTATTTGGCCTTACCTTTGAGTAGAATGCCTAAAACGTTTTTCTCACTTTTTCAGTACTGAAGTTAATGGTGACGTTTTGTTCCTGCATTGGTATGATGCTCACTACAACGTTCTGACGGTATGCACACAGTACCAAATGCAATCTACAAGTCCGTTTGATTTTCAATAAGAAATGTTGAAATATTGACTCTCTGATTTGGACATCTTGGGCCGCTGCTGGGTAACATTGCGACATACATTTTTGTATCACAGCGTTATCGATTGTTTGACGGGAGTTTCCGCGATTGCTAATGCACGTGGACTAGTCCTTCGAAAGAAGTTCATACCTGAGAAAGAATAAAAATCCCAAGCATTCGTACCCCTTCCATTTTATCCGTCGATATATTCACCAAAACTTTGCGTTGGCCACACCACTTTTGTGAAAGTGAAGATAAGTAGATGCAACATGCTCGAAATGGTCGAACGAAGAAAATTTTAAATTTTTCTTTGGATGGCTGAGAGTTAGAAACTACCAAGTGGTCTTCGAGTTCCACAGATGCCCTGCCGATTTCCTCATCGAAAAAGTCCATTTTTGCAAGTTCACTATTTAAGCATTGTAAGAGCAAATATACCAATAGCGTCTCCAATTAAAATATCAATGATACAAAATTTTAGAAATGTGGGAGTAGAAGTATGATCGACAGATCAAAATCGATTTAAGTCACAATGTCGAAATTTACCACGCAATTGTCATTGAAGCTTTAAAACCATGCGATCCTTGCACAGGTGACGTCACATATTTTGAAGTCATTCTCAAATAAGTGTTACAAAGGTAGCTTACTCTAACATCGCTTTCATTACTTCAATGCATCAATGACATACCCAATCAAACGCTTTCTAGAGAAACATAAAGTATCATTTTCACAACTATCAGATACAATAATCAAAACTCAAACCAAACCAACAAATTTCTTCGAAACCTCGCGGATATAGTTCTTTGATATATATCATTATTGGTTCCATTTTAAACGAAATTCTAATTTCAAATAAAACTAAAAAGAAAATCCCCCAAAAGACGTCAGACACAAAACGTCTGGTGGTAGTGGAAAGGAAAAGAAAGAGAAAAGACCCATGATTTTGTGTGTGATAATGATTGTTAACGTAGCTTTAACAATTTTTCAGTCATATTACTATCATATCTACAGTGTGGCAGTTTATAGTGGTGTCTAGCAATGGGGCGGCATGTAGCAAGTTGTCCCACCCAGTCACATTATCATGACATCACTCCGACTATTCCTAACACTACCCTTTTAATGCAGAGAGCCAAGCGAGGCAGCCGTTAGTACCATTTTTGTAAGTCTTTGGTAAGACTCAGCAGGGGATTAATCCCACGACCTCCCGTTTTCGAGGTGGACGCTCTAACCACTAGGCCATCGGAGCGGTCAAATAAAAGTCCTTAAAGAATAATCTCCTGCCAGAAAGAGAGGAGATAAGCCACTAAGATGCTCGGGTATTACAACAAACATTGCCTCTCTGTTACAGTTGATCCTAATGTTGCTTCTACTTCAGCTTTGTTGATGATGGCTGCCAAGCCTGATTTAAGACCAGTATTTTCTTGTTTGATGATGAAAAATGTAGATCAATTTCTGCAGAAAGTTCTTCGTCATCGGCAGCGAGGACAATGTATTCTTCTTTACTAACTGCTGCTGCAACTACAAAATGTAGCCTGTTCTAGGACGAAAGAACGAGACATAACGTGTACTAAAAAGTTTACTGGATTTACCAAAATAATAACTCTCACACCCCTGTTTCTACCCATGTTTGTGATAATGACTTGCTGTACTTAGAATCTGCCAAATTCGAAATGTCGACGAGCTAAAGCAAGCTGCGTGACTAATAGCAACTTTAAAGTGTCATTAAAGAAAGTTCAATCCAACTTCATTTTCTAAAACACACAAACTTACAACTTTGCCATAAATCATAACGACAGATAAGCTTCCATATTCACTAGTTTGAAAAGAAATACAGCTAACAGTGTAGCCCTTTTCGTAATCCATGTGTGTTTATTTCAAGGCCACTGAAATAATATTTGGAAAGTTTTAAAACTCGAACCAATACTGTTACGGTTTATTGACAGTTTTTTGAATGACCGCAAATTCTTTATATCATCTGTCTTCACTGCAAGCATAACCAGCCAGAGAATGGCCCTTATTTTGCCATGCTACCCGTCTTGGATCTAGAATAAAAACACTGCGTTACTCACTATAAATTGTTTCATTGGCTAACAACTAATTTTACCGCCTTAACTTTGAATCTCATTCATCTTCTGTTTGTTCAGTGGAAAGATTGGATGTTTCTCTGCGTCTGACCGTTATTCACTTTACACATAAAATAACGCCTTAGAAATATATGGGTGTAATATTTTGTGAAATCTTTACATCTATTTTTCCGAAAGAGGGATATCAGTAGACTATGTCTCCTATTCAATCTTGTCATATTTAAAAAGGTGGATTTTTCTTATCAATGTAAATTTTATAACTGTGTGTGTGTTCTTTATTTGTAAATCTCTCTCTCTCTCTCTCATGCAAATTCTCTCTCGTTTTATTTTACATACACTTACGTTTCTTATAAAATAATTTAGATGGAAGTCATAACGGGATCTGTTCCATTTTGAAGACACTTGTTACAAAGCAACTGCCATATATTATACATGATGTGTTGGATTCTATGTAAACATTTTGACATTAAATAGCATTCCAGTTTGAAACCATAAAATTGTTTAAGGATATAACTTCTTGGGCCTATAGATTTACATGGAGCGTAAAGATTGAGTCAAATCTACGACGTAAAGTTCATTTTCCATTTGAGTTGATGAGGCTTAAACATTTAGATCCTTTGAGGCCGTAAAATCAATCACCATATTGAACATATTGACCATTGTAACTTATATACTCAGAGTGACTCGTATTCAGCTCAGCAATATTACCTTACAGGTTTATCAGTTTTTATGCCCTATCCCCACCATCCGCATTGTAACCTATGGCCGCATATAGAATTATTGCTTTAAGCCAATTGACCTATTGCCACTGGCCAGTCATGCTGATCATTTGACCAATCAACGAGTGTAAATTATACACACCTCCAGGCATTGCTTTCATCTGCCAATTTCCTCCGACGAGCAGCTGGTGACCATAATGAATTCATCATCATCATCATCATCATCATCATCATCATCATCATCATCATCATCATCATCATCATCATCATCATCATCATCATCATCAACATCATCATCATCATCATGTATGTATGTATGTATGTATGTATGTATGTATGTATGTATGTATGTATGTATGTATGTATGTATGTATGTATGTATGTATGTATGTATGTATGTGCGTGCGTGTTAAAGTTTTTGTTATTTAAAAAAAGATCGAGGTCTTATCTGTGTTTCGGATAGGAATAAGTCTAATTCCTGCATTTAAAATTGTAGACGATCTGGATACCGACAATCTGAATATCAAGGCTCCCACTTCCTTTTTTCACCCTTATCGATCGAGAAATCAACAAATCATTCCAAAAATTGTTCTTACTTATCATAATCAATTCTTTATTTCCACCAGCAGCTTGTCGTAGGAAAATGGCGGACGTAAGCTAGGCTTGCAGTTGAGTCTAATTTACGCTCCCTGATTGGTTACTTGATCAATATGATCGACAAATGGCGATAGGTCAATTATTCTAACAGCTACCTTTTGTTGGAAATGAATTACTTCGTTTGTGATGGCAGTATAGTGATCATCAAGTCTCATAAAAGTGTGTCTGTGTGTGTGTGTATTTGTGCAAAACACGTAAGCTAAAAGCAAAACAGCAGCCAAGAATATACCATTAATGCACATATACGTGCAAAGTTAACACACACGTGCACACACCAAAGGCCACTCTCCTTGTACTTTGTGGTATATTTGTTTGTATTCATTTCGTTATTTTCTCTAACGTAACATTATTGCTTATTTTT